GTCACGTCAGTCAAAAACTTTTGGCATCATGAAATATGAATAGAATTAGAATGGATCGAAAAAATGAAATCTGGGCGCGCCTCAAAAAGATGTCCAACAAAAGGACCGCAAAAAAGGGCATTGCTTCCTCAAACAGCAAGGTACCACCAAGGGAAATACCGAGCGGGATCTCTCACCCGTTTTACAACACCCGGATTCGAGGTCAAGTTAGCACACATATTCTCTCACCCGTATACCAGCACCCAGATTCGAGATCAAGTTAGCACACATATTCCTATGTTTCGAGATATATTACCGTATATACTAAACATATGGGGGAATCGGGTTGGGGTAGACTCACTGCGCACGCAATAACGTCTAAACTAACTTTGGTGGCTTCAAAATCTTTATTTCACCAAATCGACAGATGGATAAGATATGAACGAACATGCCAAATTTCATTAACTTTCTATGTTGGCGTATCGAGTTATTTCACCGCAAAGTTCCTAGCAAAATTTCATAAGCTTCCTATGCTGGCTTTTTGAGTTATACCACCGGGTGCTAGTAGGAACTTTGCGGTAGTAAAACTCGATACGCCAACATAGAAAGTTAATGAAATTTGGCATGTGCATACCTTATGCATCTTTCGATTTAGTGAAATAAAGATATTGAAGCCACCCACCATAGCTAGTTTAGAAATTATTGCGTGCGCAGTGAGTCTACCCCAAACCGATTCCCCCATATGTTCGATTACAGTTCCGATTGAATGATAACGATGGGCTGATGATAACGATGGGCCACGTAGAGACGTGTATTTTAGTTTTCATTTCACTATTCGATTTTAAAAAAAAAAAAAAAATTTTTTTTTTCATTTAAAGATACATTATGGGAGATTCGATAACGAGTTGGCAATTCTCACTATAATAGTTAAAAACTAGAGGCAATTTGCTGAAAATTTCATTCAAATTGATCCACTATGAACCGAAAACTAAGCGAATGAAATTTCTGCCTAGCCTCGGTCATCATTACTAAAGTCAGTACGATAAACAGCATAGCCTCGATTATCTATTTAATCGTTTAATCGAGAAGGAAAGTTATGCAGTAAATCGGCTCACAATCCACAAAAGATCGCAGGCTAGCGATGCCATCTAGAGTTGATTATGGTCTGGATAAGTTAATTAATATCTAATTAATAATTTAGATAACATTTCAGGCCTAAAGAAAGACCTGCAATAGACAGATTTAGCTCTTGCATAATGTATGTTTAAGTTTTCAAACTTACTTTTTTTTAAAAATATTTTTAATTTAATTTTTTTTTTCATTTCAGTTTTTGATTTACATTTATTTTACTTTGTTTTTATCAAAAACGATTTTAATTTAGATCTAACTTAATTTAAATTATTTTCTATTTCATTTAATTTAATTTATTTTTTATTTTCGATTTCTTTTTTGTTATTTTTTAGCGAATTTTTATTTTCATTCAAATTTATGTTTACAGTTTAATATTTGTGGTTGATTTTTTACACATTTCTCTATGATAACCATGGGCCACCATACTACTACTACGAAAAATATATCCTAGGAATACCCTTCTGTTTCAGAGCTAAGCACTACACCAATTCCTGACGAACTAAGTTCTACATACCTAGAAACAGCAATCAGGTCAATTGAGATGATAACCACTACTACGGAAAGCAAAGAATTGGTTAGCCAAAGAGATGCCACCCTCTTCTCTAAGATTAATGCTCCACCATCAGCATCGCTAGAATCGGGAGACAGCTCCGTTGCGACGATAACCACTACCCCGGAAAGCATATCCATGACATATCCCAGCGTTTCATCTGTTTCAGAGCTAAGCACTACGTCCATTTATGATGCACTAAGATCAATGTCGCTAGAATCAGAAATCAGTTCAGTCGAGGCGGTAACTACTAGTACGACAAATAAGGAATGGAGTAGCCCCAAAGACCCCGCCCTCCGAACCACGATCAATACCCCATCAATTTATGAAGCACTAACAACTGAAGTCGGAACAGTTGATATACAAGAATCAACATCTGCTAAACCCCCGGAGGTGGTGAGCACAAGAGACGCCATCTTGTTTAATGGATCCTCTTCGTGTGGATGTTTTTGTCGTACTGTTGATCAGAGAGAGAATACCACGGAATATATTGAAGAGTTCAAGGCTGAGATTAAAAAGAATCTGACTGTTGCAACTGAGAAATTATCCAGTACTATACGAAAGAAAACGAGTGCAACCGACGAGCGGCCATCAGCTGTGTATACAGGATATATGGGAATTTTTCTCATTATTCTATCTCTTGGTAGTTTAATTCTGTCTGATTTGATTTCACTAATACGATTTGTGCATCATCGGATGACGGCATAATTCTATAATCTGATTTGATTTCACTATTAAGATTTGTGCATCATCGGATGGCGGCATAATTCCATAATCTATCAAATTTTTACATTTTAATGTTAACTTTTGATTAACAATACATGCATTTCTTGTCTGTATTTTGAGATTGTTATAATTTTAATAAGTTGTCAAGTACTATTGACTTTGTTTGTACAAAATTTAAAAAACCTTTGCATTAATATTTTGTATATTTAATTGACATTTTATACACCCATACGTACGAGAGTAGTTTGCACAACGTTTATAAAACACTTTCGATCAACGTTTTTTTTATTATTTTAACGTATAATATATGTAGTTTGGGCGAATATTCGTCACCATGTCCGTCGGTCTGTTCGTTCGTCCTTACATCAATAATTCACGCGATATAGGCTACAGTTTTTGACTGATCGTTTTTTAATGTGGGGGGGGGGGTAGAATTTGGATCACGAGAAGGCGAACCGTATCGACATGTGACCTTCCGTTACCTCTCCTTTGTCGAAAACACTGTGAAGGAGGTAGAGGCTACACTTTTTGGCGGATCTTTTCTTAATCGATATTTGGCGTTCTGCGACTTTCCGTTCCAGAGTTATGGCCCCGTTGCCGAAAACGAACTATATTTTTTAACGGATCTTTTTAAAGTTATACTCCCTTTTATGGACACCTTTTGAACGTGATAAGAGACTATAGTTTTAACGGATCTTATTAGAAACTATTAGGGGATCATTGGCGTCATGGAAGGACGAACCCTATCGATTCTATGCCTTACTTAGTTTTCAACTAAAGAGTTTGCCATCTAAAACCCCTCTTTGCCGAAACACCCATGTACAAGATAGAGGCTTTAGTTTTTAACCATCTGTTTTTAAATTTGATAGGAAGCAAGCACGAACCGTATCGATATTTGTTGCGAATTATTCCCTCTTCTCGGACTGACACCCTATTTTCCAAAAACCTTGTAAACATTTATGTATGAATTTTGGGCAAGAAATAGCCATGATTGGCAGATAGAAACCCCGCCTATCGTTCATATTCTCGATTGTCAATAACATTGATATAAAAAACAGCCCAGTCGTTACAGAAAGGGGGTGGGGGTGGATGGGGCCAATGGTTAGCGCGTTGTATCTTGATGTCTGTCATAAAGTCATCTGGCATGATTTCGATTCCACGGTTGTACGTGCCAAGGAGTAGGGTCGCCTGTCTAACCCCGTGGGGTTTCTCAGGGTCCTCCGGTTTCCTCCCACGGCTAAAGACCCCTACGAGCAAGCGAATGATTGAAATAAAATTGAACCACATGTGACAAAGTACTCTATAACGTTCATCAAATTGAACGATCATTTAGGTGCATATAACTTATTGACAGCTGGTTTTAATAACAGATATTATACACTTTGTTGTACACACGTACGCACTAATTAAAGATATCAATTCCACATGTATATATTTATATCAGTCAGCGAAATTAAGATAACTTGTAAATGCTATATATAGTAATGATCTCGTGTGGTGTGTAGACCCAGTCGAAAGGTATATAAACACTATTTTGTTGGCAGTTAGAGATACGCCAAGAAGAGACACAGACGGTAGACGAGCGGGGAGAAGAGATGAGCAGAGACTGGCGAAAGGTCCATCCGAGTTAAGCCGTTGACGAGACAGAAGGGCGGAATCTTTGAAGTACAGTATAGTCATAAACAATATTAATGTACCATGTTGATGTTTAGTTTAAGTTCTTGGTGTAGTTTAATTCCTGTTGTATTTATGTAACCGCTTTATATTTTGTTCCTGGTGTAAATAAAGGATAACATGTTTAGTTAAACAGATATCTGTTATCATTAAAATAGTGTTACAGTATATGTTAGATCCGAAATGACCTAGTTTGTGTCGAGTGGACTTTAACAACCCCCCCCCCCTCGCTCTCTCCCCCCCTCCCTCTCCCCCCCCCCCCCCCCGGAAGATGTTTATATTTTATGACACATCGTCAGTTTTAGTTCAAAATAAGAGTACGTCGTTGCACTGCTACCCAGGCAAAATTCCCTTAATTGCAAATTTCACTGTGTGTGTGCCAGTCTTCAGTACCCTAGCGCGGAAAAATAGGATATTAGCCCATTACATTTCATTTTATATTTCTTCTTAGTTTGAGTCTTTAACCATCGATTCCAATCCGGTCGCCATCACCAGCATCCAAACATGTAAGTCCATCATTGTTTCGCTTAGTCAATGGTTGCAAGACAGGGGCCTGACAAGGAACAGTGTCTAGTCGTACGGATAGGACAAAACGTGAACGTCCACTGTACACATTGACGTGCACGTTAAAGTACCCTTGGCAGTTAGAATTAGAAATAAGGGTAGGTCATAGTCCCTCATAGCACAGTTCATGGCGTATGCCCATCTTGATTAGCCCCTACGCACAAGCGAATTATGGAAATAAAATTGAACCATATGTTAGTCCCGAAATGACCTAGTTTGTGTCGAGTGGACGTTAAACCCCATTGCTCTCGCTCTCATGACAGAATGGACGTTGTACAGTGCAATGATATATGCAATCGTATATAATTTAATGGGACAAGGGGAGTTAACTCTGATCTATAATAAACGGACCATAAAACCAACAACTCTATAAAGTTTCATGTTTAAAGACATGGCAAATACTTTTCACATAAAAACTTAACACAATTTTGGTCTTTCAAACACGGATCAATCTTGACACAATGCAAAAACACATTGGACATATTAAATGTCTCTCGATATCTTACCCTTTCGTAGTACCAAAGATACGAGCCCTTTAATCGGGCAATCTCACTTTGTTTTGACAAGCCATTAATTATTGTGGGGACTGTTATTTCTATATACACTTGATGGGCAGTAAATACATTCACTAAGTATACAAACTGAGATGCAAAACGTTGAGGAATATAAAAGATATCAGAAGCCTCGTAAAAGACTCTCTTTTTTCCTCCAGCGTTTTCTTCAAGTTGGTCTAGAAAGTCCACGACAAGTCTTTCTCGGTGACTCAAATTCTCAAGTGTTTTCATAGCTTTTTCTAGCGCAACTCGACCTCTACCAGATTTCCATGGCCACCAGTCTGGATTTTTCCATACATCGGGAACAGCAGGCTGTGATAAATTGGCAACACGCATGCTTTCTTGAAACCAAATCTGATCCGTGGGAAGATTATGCAAGTTCCAGATATTCAACAAAACATCGTCTCCCACATGGAGATACCCATCTACGTCATAATGCATTAACATTGCTGTATGAAGACATTGGTATCCTACTTCGCCATTTGCAAAACTGAGAGGCATCTCCACATAGGACACAGGGTATTTTAATGTGTTATAGCCCTCTAGGAAATTTCGTTTATCTTGTCCACAATACAGGATATTTCTAAAGGCGGTTCTATATATTTTTTCGAAATACTCGAGCAATCCGTAATGACCTACTCTATTAAACACGATGACTAGAAGAATGTTGTTGATAACTTTGGATTTTTGTAATCCTAGAGGCTTGAGACACGTTCCTAGCCCCTTTGTGCACATACGAGTAAAGTTTCTGCTGGAATAGGAGTTCTTAGTGGCTGCAGGGTAAAACAAAATGCTATGGGCGGGCTCCAGTGAATTCTTTCCAATTGCTTTATCAACTAATTCTGGTTGACTATACCCGTGTTTCAGAAGGATTTCTAACCATCGAACTATGGACCGATAATCGGACCTTGGTATCATCTTCTTTTCAACCATAAAGTCGCTTAAAGATATCACACATGAGAAAAACGTTGATCTTCTTGTACACTCCCAACTATTAACAGGCGCCATCATTTGCGGAGAGTCTTTTAATTCTTTTAAGGATTTACAACCAGGTTGTTTCCCCTTATCTTCAGAAGCTATAAATGAAGCAGAGTTCCCGATTTCTTGAAGCAGTTTTTGAACCCACAAAGACCATAAAAGCTGATTTTTCTGTAATGGAACAATGGCCCAAAAGGCTTCGTATTGGAACAATATATTGTCTTTAAGCATTGCTTCCATTGTATTGAACGGTAGCAATATCTCTGGTGCTCTATAATCTATGAAGTCCTTGCCCATAGAAATATCAGTTGTCCCGAGAACCTTTTGTAAAGACGCAGTTTTCCAAACGCCGAGTTCGTAGCTATAAGACGGTGCATTTTCCTTTGCCGACGGATTGGGAAAACCTCCATAATATGAAAGCAACGAGAAGTTCGCTGTACCGTTATATCTTAATCCCGTCATATATTTATCATAATAAAATCTATTTAATATTGACCTAGTTTTGTTGTTTAAGTTGGATGATAAATAGATATATCTAGCTCCGTTCTTGATAGCTGTTAAAATTAAATCTTCTAGAGCTGAGGAGGCAAACGGTGCGCACCTGAAAGGAGAGAACTGTCGTTTAACATATCTCAAAACAACTGGGTCATCACAGGACTAATTATCATATACCCCATTTTCCATACCTCCATCATGCAATACTAGAGTTTGGGTTTAACGTGCACTCAAGACAAACAAGGTAATTTCGGGACTAACAGAATGGTTCAATTTTATTTCGATATTTCGCCTGCGCGTAGGGGTCTTTAGCAGGGGGAGGAAACCGGAAAAAAAACCCCACGAGGTTGGACAGGCGACCCCACTCCTTGTCACGTACAGGTAGGAAATCGAAGCCACGCCAGTTGATTTAATGACAGACCTTATGATGTAACGCACACGTGCTAACCCTTTTCCTTTTTTTTGGGGGGGGGGGGGTAGCCACGGTGGCTAGGTGGTTAAGACGCTGGCTCGCTAGCCTGGAGGTCGGGTGTTGGATCCCTGCATTGACCGAGAAAGTTCATCTGGATTTTCCGACGTGGTTTCCCCTTGTCAGTGGTGTAGAACGGAGGGCCTGACAAGGACAGCTGTGTAGTCCTTCAGATGATACGAAAAACCGAGGTCCCGTGTATACATTGGAATGCACGTAAAAGATCCCATGGCAGTTGGAATTCGATATAAGAGTAGGCGATAGTGCCGCTGCCCGGGCAAAATTTCCCTCATAGCACACTGTATGGCGTATGCCCGTCTTCATTAGCCCAGTATAGGAGCAGAACAGTAGGACGTTAAACCCCATTTCATTTCATTTCATTTCATTGCTAACCCTTTTGCCTGGATATATATCGGCGTTTCGGCCTATAGTTTGTCGTATAGGCGTTTTCCGTCTAGTGTTTGTCGTATTGGTGTTTTCCGTCTACTGTTTGTCGTATAGGTGTTTCCGTCTATCGTCTGTCGTATAGGTGTTTTTCGTCCCGAATCAATGATACTTTCCTTGTCCTGTAAAGAAAGCACGGAGATTTGTTATCGGCACATTCAACTCGAGAGGCGAGTGCACAGTCGCTCGACCACCGTGGTCGCCTAATTATTTTAATTAAGCTTGGAATACTTTGCCGCGTGGCTGGTGTTATGACCGCTCAAAACCCACCAGTGGAAGTAACTGATAATCGTCACCACTAACCACTAAGTTTCCTGTAGTTTATAAGAGATTTTACACTGATCTGACATGCTAACGCATTGTAATGAAATGAAATGGGGTTTAACGCCCTAATGTTCTGCATCGAACGGGCGAGTAAAGACGGGCGTACGTCATGAGGGAAATTTTGCTGGGACAGCGGCCTACTTCGACTGTCAAGGTGGTTTTTTTTTTTTAACTTGCATGGTAATGTATACACGGTAGCTCGGTTATTCGTCCCATCCAAACGACTAGATACTGCCTTCGATAGACAGTCCGTCCCGCACCAGGATCGAACCCCGGACCTCCTAGCCACTGAGCCAGTGCCTTAAGCCCTTTTTCAATGCACGCGTGTTCGCCCGCGAAAACGTCGGTCTAATCCAAGGTAATGTAACCGGCGAAAACCCGTACATGCGAAACGGGCCTACTCACTGAGCCACCGTAGCTCCAGCTAACGCATTGAATGATCAACTTACATGTTATTTGAATTAAGAACAAGTACGCTCCAGTCTGTTTTCTGCTCCAGATCATGTAGTTGGTGTGGTTTACTACTTATATCTGTTATTACCCATCTGTCATTTTTCTTTAATCTGGAATGTAACAGAACATTATAGTATAATTAAAAATCAAGCTGCGGCCATATTCACGAAAACTTAATCAAAGTATTTTAAGAAAGCAGCGTTTTCATTGGTGAAAAGCTAAAAACCAATGAAAAGACCCCATACTTAAAATATTTTGGTTTATTTTTTTATAAATACTGACGATGGGCAAATATTATTCATTATTGGTATACGTTCACTAATAATATTTTATTGTTTTATTGTTCAGGGAAATGTTTATCTCTTTCCCGACTAATTTGACTTTCCGAAGTGGTTCCTCTATCTCTATCTCTCTCTGTGGGCTATAATTAGGTGAAACTGTAAATTTATATTCTGTATCGAAACATTATATTATGACATAAATACCTATTATACATTATAAACACCTATTATACATTATAAATACCTATTATGCATTATAAATACCTATTATACAATATAAATACCTATTATACATTATAAATACCTATTATGCATTATAAATACCTATTATACAATATAAATACCTATTATACAATACCTATTATACATTATAAATACCTATTATACAATACCTATTATACATTATAAATACTTATTATACCTATATACATTATATTATAACATAAATACCTATTATTTACTGACACATTATGAATACCTATTATTTACTGACACATTATAAATACCTATTATTCACTGGAACATTATAAATACCTATTATTTACTGAAACATAAATACCTATTATTTACTGAAACATTATAAATACCTATTATTTACTGGAACATTATAAATACCTATTATTTACTGAAACATTATAAATACCTATTATTTACTAGAACATTATAAATACCGATTGTATACTGGAACATTATAAATACCTATTATTTACTGGAACATTATAAATACCTATTATTTACTGGAACATTATAAATACCTATTATTTACTGGAACATTATAAATACCTATTATTTACGGGAACAATATAGATACCTATTATTTACTGGAACATTATAAATACCTATTATTTACTGGAACATTATAAATACCTATTATTTACTGGAACATTATAAATACCTATTATTTACTGGAACATTATAAATACCGATTGTATACTGGAACATTATAAATACCTATTATTTACTGGAACAATGGTAAAGTTGGACTTGAACTGTATTGTTAAATATAACCAGTTATGTAGAAACCATAAAACTATGGTTAAACAGATGATCACAGATACCAACTTTATGTGTCGCTGATAACCCATCGTTTATTTAATACATACCCAATATCTTCATAGACTCTGAATACGACAAGAAAGTTCAATAAATTAATCTCTCATATGTTAGTTTATGTCCACTGAACGTGTTAACCCCTCACCATCTCTCTCTCTCTCTCTCTCTCTCTCTATAAGATATGTGGAATTATGTCATCGATCTATATGTCCATTTTGTTGTGGGTATATTCTAAATCCGATTGAACCCAGGAGTTTGGGAGTGTATTTTGATTTTGTTTTCTTAATTCAATGTTAAAGATACATTATGGGAGATTCGATAACGAGTTGGCAGTTCCCACTATAATAGTTAACCAGCGGCTGCCAGGCAGGATACGCCCACATTTTCGAGAGATGGATAGAGAACAAGCTAACAAGAAAGTGATTTTTCCTACAATCAAGGGCCATAATTCAGGAAATTACAATTCGATATGCGCAAATATTGAAAGGAACTGAATGAACGGCAGCCAATTTGTCTGTCAATTTTGGGCCGATTTTCACGAAATTCGAACTCAGTCGTCCTCAGGGTGTAACGGTGATATAATAATACGTTTTTTAAATCGGATAAAAATTATGACCTCTATAGGATCCACAAGCTAAAAACGCAATTTTTCGTACAATCAGGGGCCATAATTCATGAAGTTAGGGTTCGATATGCACGAATATCGAAAGGAACCGAGATCTTTGGGTTATAAACTTACATTTCAAGTTTCAACAAAATCGGATAAAAATTGTGACCTCTATAGGGTCCACAACCGTGATATACCATTTTCTTACGCTATTTGAGAACGAACGGCGGCCATTTTGTCTGTCAATTTTGGGCCGATTTTCACGAAATTCGAATTCAGTCGTCCCTAGGGTGTAACGGTGATATAATAATACGTTTTTTTAAATCGGGTAAAAATTATGACTTCTATAGGGTCCACAAGCTAAAAACGTGATTTTTCGTACAATCTGGGGCCATAATTCAGGAAGTTACGGCCCGATATGCACGAATATCGAAAGGAACCGAGATCTTTGAGTTATAAACTTACATTTCAACAAAATCGGATAAAAATTGTGACCCCTATAGGGTCCACAACCTTGAAATACCATATTCAAATTACGCCATTTGGCAACGAACGGCTGCCATTTTGTCTGTCAATTTTGGGCCGATTTTTACGAAATTCGAACTCAGTCATCCTTAGGGTGTAACGGTGATATAATAGAACGGTTTTTTGGGGGAGCCTGTTCCTTCTTGTTGTTTCGCAATCCAACGTGGAAACTACACCAAGGTTGTTTTACTTTAATAATATTTATTTCTACATTGCTGGCCACTCAAGTAGTAAAATGATTGACCTATTCGCTGTATCTTCCAGGGAAACCAGTCTGTTAACTCTTTATCCTTCCGCCTCTAAATCATAAATATATACCATAACCTGGCATAAATGTTTACCACGTGCGCGTTGTATCATAAGGCCTGTCACTGAGTCAACTGGCGTGGTTTCGGATCCCCAGTTGTACGTGACAAGACCCCTACGCGCAAGCGAATTATTAAAATAAAATTAAACCATATGTTAGTCCCGAAATTACCTAGTTTGTGTCGAGTGGACGTTAACCCCGCCATTTATCTCTTTCCTTCCAATTCGACATACTGATATACATTGCTATTCCTATCCTTCTAGATTCAGATTCAGATAGATACTTTCATATGTAACACTTTCATAGCTGCAACAACTATTTGCATAGAATCCACTCTCACAGCTCCTGTATCCAAGATTTTGCTCCGACCACTTCAATATCTAAGTTTATGTCGGTCGCAAACCATTTTCGATCTGTTCCACTCAAAGTTTCGGCTTTTACATAAGGTACAATATTTCTTGGGTGGGGTGGGGGTGGGGGTGGGGGACCATTTTCTCTTAACGCCTTTAGACATTTTTTTTCAAAAAAAAAAAAAGGGTTTACTTTTCCGTCCCACATTGTTCGCGACATTCTAACAGATCGTGCACTTGACTTGTTTTTTTTTCTCTCTGTAGTGAAAAACTGAATGCTCAATGCAAAATTGGGCAAAAGTGGGAGCTGGGCAAATAGACAGAATTAACATTAAGTCAATGAGGAAATTAATGGTGGTCTGCCTCCGTTATCCCTTTAAAATACAGATGTGACGCCATCATTTCATGTTGGCGTACCATTATTTCAAATATTAGTCCTACCCAAATGATTTCTTCATTTTCTGAAACAACTATGTCCCTAGTGTTCCAGAAAAAATTTCCCCGCCAATCGGAGTTGAGCAAATTTTTGTACAGCATTTTGAAATTTTGACCCCCTTGGTCAACATAATGAAACTGAAAACCATTTATAACTTCAAAAATATCAATTTTACAGCCTAGAAATATATTATCAACATAGGAAAGTGATACCAAGGAATCCAGAAATTACGTCAAAAGTAACGTACGATGTCACCGTGACGTCAGAATACAAAATGGCGGAACTATGACGTCACTGTGATGTCAAAATTCAAAATGGCGGAGACGTGTTGTGAATAAAGCAATAACAGCAAGCAAATAGACAAGAGGAATATTCTGGACACCATAAAATATTCATTCGGATCATTTGTTCTACCCCGTACCAAATTCATCTTCTAAATCAATGCTGATTTGTTCGATATTGAGACAACCCTCCCCGTGGCATCCTCCACACGCTTCAACACATTTCAAACCATTCTGTGTACAAGAACATGACGAGCATTGGTGTTTCAACGATTTACATTTACACCAGATGAAATTCAGAACGTTGTCTGGTGCTGATGGAAGAACAGTTGCGATGGGAACGTATCTATTATCTATCACTTGCCAACCACAATTCACAGGATCGACGCCATCGTCTAGTTCATCCCAAATTCTAACCTGAACATGAATGCGGTGAGCATGCTGCTCGGCCGCGGCAGCTGTTGGAGGAAGTCTATTGATTTGAATGGAAATTTTTTCAGCAATCATAGCTTTGTACCTTAGGTACCGGACTTTAGTCAGAGAAATCTTATTTTTGTGACCATACATTGACATTGCACAGAATAACCTTTCCCCAGCTTCAGATACTTCGGACTGGGAACTTCCAGGTGAAGCTATTATCTTGCTAGCTTCCTGAAAGATGTCACTGTTCGTATGTTTAAGAAGTCCCAATTTACTGAATCCGAAACAACCAGATTTCCCTCGTCAAATTGTCGTATTTGGTTCATAGCCGTCGAACACGACGATTGGCGAGGGAAATCATTTTACAAATGACCGATAGTTTTCTAAGATGTTGTAGATATTCGTACCCTTATTCCACCTTACAAAAATTAGCAGACCTCCATCAATGACAGTTATTTCACTGGTGAGCGAAGTGTTCGAAACGGGTGAAACGTTCTTGAGCAAATGCTCAGCGAGATCGGACTTGGTTACATGTCGCATGAAAGCTCCTGCAAACAGTGAGGACGGGAAGGCACTCAACTCATATTTGAAGAACTGTTGAATATCTGTACCTGTGCGCTGTGCCACCGTAATACATCTTTGAAAAAGAACTTCTGGTTGCACTCGCACTGTCTTACCTTGAACTTTAACACCTGGCTTCAGGTCCCTCGCCAATCGTCGTGTTCGACGTCTATGAACCAAATATTAAGGATCATCAGCACGAGCGCCGAGCTGCTACGTCTAAATATAGGAGCAGTGACATTTCTCTGAAATTGGACACCACAGTTATCTATAGTCAAGCCCAGTTACTGGCCAACATTGAAAACAAAATCCGTCTAATCATAGAACTAGAATACTAACGGGAACGCCCACCGTGTGACGTCACTACCTTATGTGACGGCGGGCTTCTGACGCTGATATCGGGCACAGCGTACTTCCGGTTTCTGCTCGCACTAACAAAATGCCTGGCGCGAATTGTGTTTTGTTCGGATGTTCCGCCTGCAATAAAAGAAATCGGGGTTGATCATTCTATCGCTTACCCAAAAAAACATAGAGTGGAGAGAGAATCATTACGTATCATACAGTCTACCAGATCAGACCCGATAAATGACAAGACCTTGACAATATGTTCAAGACACGTTGAGCCGGATTATTTCGTTGAAAAAGTAAGTGAAAACTCAAAAGAAATTAATTATGTAGATTCTAGTTGGCAGTCCACCCTGACAACCTACAATGAAACAATGAAGTTAAGTTAAACCCATACTAGCTGAATGTCTGTATTTTCATGTTTGCCCGTTAGATTTTACCCTTTCTTTCATCAAAGTTGTATGCATATAGGTTTGTTTACATTAGCTAGCTAGGCCTAGTCTACTTTCAATTTGTTATGAAATTGACGATTACTACACCCGATGAGTGTGTGACAGCATGACGATTCTCTCTCAACAATCTTCTTTTACTTTAATTTTATGAATTACTAATTATTATTTTTTTTTTAAAGGTCAAAGTTTTAACTGAGCAGCTCCATAAAAATTAAAATTGTATATTTATTTATGACTGACCTTGACCTGTCAAATCCTTTTATTTTTAAATTCCGAAATAATCTTGTTCCCGGTATGAATAATCAACAAGCATGGAAAAAAAATAATTATATCTGAACCTTTTGTTTTGTATGTAGGAACCTTTTTATTTTGATTTTATGAATATTTCAGATGTTTACAAAAATTCTGGGTCCACATATCGAAGATTAAAAGAAGGGTTAGGGAGACTATCAACCTTAATTCTTCTACAGAAAAGCGTAACAACAAAGAAATTGAATCCAAGGAAGTCACCGGTAACTTAAATTTCTGTTAACTTAATTATGAATATGAACATTCGATGTTTCCTTATAAAAGATCAGTATATGAACATTTAATTCATCAATATTAAACAGACATTATGCAAGAGCTAAATCTGTCAATTGCAGGTCTTTCTTTAGGCCTTTAATGTTATCTAAATTATTAATTAGACATTAATTAACTTATCCAGACCATAATCAACGCTCGATGGCATCGCTAGCCTGTGATATATACTGGATTAGAGCCCAGTCTGCTACTTCTGATTAAATCAAAAAATGGATAATCGAGACCATGTTTTTTTTTTTTTTATCGTACCGAGCTTAGTAATGATGATCGAGGCTAGGCCCAAAATTCAATCACTAAATTCTCGGTTCAGAGTGGATCAATTTGACTGAAATTTTCAGCAAATTCCCTTTATATTATCTAGTTTTTAACTATTATAATGAGAACTGCTAGCTCCCTCTGTAATCTCCCATAATTTTATTTATAAATACTTGTATGAATATCCGATTCTTCTTTATATTTACTTTTGTAATTTTTTCGATTTTATTCAGAAACCGAGAAAATTATGAATACATGTATGAGAATCCAATTCTTCTTGTTTTAATTGAATGTTATGATTTTGTCTATTTTATTCAGGGTCCAAGGAAAACCGAGGAAACTCAATGTTTACATATGAACGAAGTAACCTTTCAGATGTTGCAGAAATCATTTTTATGTCAAATGCCTGCTTTGTGGCTATGTCAGTCTTCAAGTGATTATATCTATCTGTTTAAAACTGAAGATAAAAGTGTAACATACCATTTAACCATTGACAAGGACTTGAATTGTGAAGTACAATATAATAATTTTTGTTTCCTGTTCAAATTAAAGTTACATCTATAGATTTACTTATAAGAACTGTTGAGAATATGAAGATATGTAGGGGCATAACATCAAAACATTTACAGTCTTATTCTCAATGTCAGCCTACAACTGTAATATATATTAGACAGGTTGATCTTTTCATGAACACAAATAAGTCAACATATAAATTACGAAAGCTGTGTACTTGCTTCTGTATGTAATAGTTTTGTTGAGGACACTCAAAAAGAAATTTGTTTAAGTTGTCGACAGATTAACAGAGATTTACAGAGAAAGTAAATAGCAATAATAATAGTTTATTTCACATATATGGCTACATAGCACATTGCATATTCAGATTTTGATTGACAATATATAATTCAAAGAATCAATATTTACATACTTGTAAATGTAATTTACAATTCAAAAATAGCTTAGCAATAATATATAGTTGCCATATAAACGAGCAAAAAGTGGTAGAATATAATCATGTGGTACGAATTTGATTTAAATGTAGATTTCACTCCATTTTGATTTATTTCTTCCAACTGACTCCACTCCACATAGATTTGAGGTCAAATGAGAAGTAAAAGAGTTAAACTGTGATCAGTTTGCTGCAAATATTTCACACAATGAAAGTAACAAAAACACAGATTATACAGATAATTTCATACAACAAAATAGAAAGTGTATAATTAAACTAAATATTTCCTGGCTCTATTGGAATTAATATCGATATTGGAAGTATAAAAATATAAATGTGATTGAATCTAGGATTAAATCTAGAACTTAATCAGCAGTGTTCTACAGATTTTTTATTTCTTGTTATTACTGTATTGTAGATAATAAGTAATGAAAAGAAAACAAGGCCCCAAGTTCACAAAGCATTCTCAGTCTTAAGTTAAGGTTTTACTCAAAATTGTTTGTCTTATTTTAACTTAAATATAGCACTTTACTAACTATTGTTGTTTTAATGTAAATATATCAATAAGAAACTATGTGCAAAGTTTTGTGTTTCTGGATCAAAGATATTTCTCAAAACAGTGATTGAAAGTTGAGCAAATTCTTAAGTCTGGGAATGCTTTGTGAACTTGGGGCCAGGTTGATAATTGTAAACAAAATATATCGAGACGCAATGAAATAGCACCTCTGAGATGACGTGGCATAACTTTGCACCTTCCACAGTTGCACAAAACCTAGCTTTTTAAAAGCTGCATTATATACCCCACGTGTGTACCAGAAAAATCAACATACTGATTCTGTTGGGTTTAATTTTTTTGATTGAGAATTGTTCGGGGTGCGTTTACACAATCTTCAAAACATTCTCACATGTTATCGTAATATGATGTTGTTACATCCTTAATTGCAAGATTAAAGCAAATCTTTAAAACAAAATTGAGCTGAAAAGTACTAAGTAGGGTGTTAACCCTGGATTTACTTCTAAACAAGATTTACATTCATCCATTTATAAAAGTGATGTATTATTTTTATTGCATCTCAGTATAAAATATTAACAATGATAACAAAATTTATACAAATTTTATACAGGTGCACTACTTGTAATGTGTGAGCTTTATAAATGTATTAAATTATTCTTAAATATACATTATGTAAGATTTTGATAAAGAGCTAGCCATTCTTGCTATAATAGTTCGAAGATAAATAATGTAAAATGAATAATTTGAAAATTTCATTCAAATTACTCTATTGCGAGCGAAGATATTAGCCTTTGAAGGCCTTTGAAGGTTTGACAAGACGTGTGCAATAATTTCAACCATCATACTGGTTGTTCGAAGTAAAGTCCCACTCCTCCATTTTTAGCTTAAATCAAAATATGGCTGAACTGTTCTAATCTATTTAATATTGGAGAAATCCGATGCTATCGAGAGTTGATTAGGGCCTGGATAAGTTAATTAATGTCTAATTAATAATTTAGAAAACATTTCAGGCCTAAAGAAAACCTGCAATAGGCAGATTTAGCTCTTGCATAATGTATGTTTAATCATTATTATCATAAGCTTATGGATTTTTTTGTGCATTTCTATTTGCCTTTAGTGTTTATCAATGGTCATTATCTGTTAAATTCACAAGTTTTATTTAACAAGCATCACTGTCATGTGAATAAAATATCTTTGAACAGAGCCTTGGATCATTCCAACCACATATTGTTGTTCTTGTTTTTTAAATTAGTTATCTTGAAAAGTAATTTAACCATTTGTTCCAAATGATGATAAACTTATACTAGAAAATGCACAGGCAGATGAACAGTTTTGATGTATAATATTCCTTGTTGGGGTTAAACTCGATTGAGGTTCGGCAAACCCTTGGGATCATGTGAACATCAGATCATTTTTCATATAACCACTACTTGAACTTTCCCATAAAATTAAACTGGATTAGTTTGAATCTTAAAAAGAAAATAAATAACAATGAAAACAACGTAAATAAAAACCAAACAAAATCAATAGCTATGAATTAAAATTACCAGTGTAAATCTGTACACAACCAAAGACAGGGTTGGAGGTTATAATTTCCCTCACAATTTTATCTAATTACGAGCTTGATACCAAATTAATACAGTTCTTTAAAGGCTCAATACCACTCTTGTTGTAACTGAATAATATGTCCCAATCTTTATTCTGGTCAACAAATTTAACTATTTTAGAATATTTCAATTAATTGATGATACAAATTTCATCTTAACACACCTTATTTAAAAAATTTGAAAAATTCAACATAATGGTTTGAAACGTCTAACGTAAACCTTTTCAAATGAAACTTCGATTTAAAAATATTTTCGAACCCTCTGGACAAGTAAAATAGGATGTAATGGATAATTTACACAACAGGTCGGACACTTAAACATCTAGTACTTAGATAGAGATATTATTTATTTTCTGGAGCTTTCAAGCCAGCAAGAGTGTTATTGTCCCTTTAAAGTAAATATTATACAAAATAAAAGAAACTGTTCCAAAGCAATTTGGGATCACGTGGCTAAGTGGGTAAGACGCTGGCTCGCTAGCCTGGAGGTCGGGTGTTCGATCCCTGCATTGGCCGAGAAAGTGATGCAGTACGGAGGGCCTGACAAG